TATATTTTTTAATAGTTTAATTCCTAAAATGTAAGTATTATATACATTCAGAGCTTCTAAAATGTAAGTATTATATACATTTAGAGCTCCAGAAACGTATGAATCGTCGAATAATTCAAGAATTATTTTAATAATTCAAGAATTTTTGTGTATAATAAGTTTAGATTTATTGTTAATAGGTAAAAATAAATTGAATTATATATGTAAAGTAAAATAATAGTCAATTACTGCAGAACGTTAATCTGTCCTTTGGTCAAAAAATTTTACAATAATTTTTACTGTAAAATTTTCTTTATGTAGTATAAAATTGTACTCATAATGTGAATTGTGCAAAGTCACACTTATAACTTGTCAATATTTTTGTTAAATCTAAACAAAGTGAAGGGACACCGCTAAAGGCGTCACAATCTTATCTTATGGCTCACTGTAAGCTCCGTTATCTCCGTTATTTGCAACATTCTTATAGATAAACATCACTCGATGCGCCAGTTGTCGCTCGACAGACGAAATCGGCGAACGTCTGACTTTGAGGAAAGTTCGCCAAGGGGAGGGAGATGCGTCTCGCGTCGCGAGCTTCTGGATTCCAATCTTTTCAGCTTACCTTGTCGCGCCTCGCGGATGGCCGTGGAATAGAAGAGAGGTGGTTTACCCGAAGAACACGACAGCTGCATCGAGCCACCAGCCTGAAAATAGCACGGCAATCCCATGCCGAGGCCGGAGGAGAGGCGAAGGAGTCGAGGACTCCTCTCTCACTCTTTTTCTTTCTCTCTCTCTTTCTCCATCTCTTCATCTCTCCCTCCCCGCAACATCTTCGTACATACCCCGGCCCGCTAAAAAGTCGCCCACCTATGAGCCTTTTAAATAGCGATCGCGTGCTTTTCCTTTTTTTTCCAGCACGCAGAAAGTACTTGCCGCCCGTTGGCACCAAGGGTAGAAGGGGGGCACGTGGTGCTGATTTATAGGAGGAACCGAGCGTATCCGGATACTTTACGAGACGACACACGATACACTCGCGCTTTTTCACCCTAAACGATCCCGCCGTCCCGCGGAATCATCCTTAATGACCTGGCACCCTTCGTCGTTGATGAAAAAACACCGCCCTCACGCTTATCCATCTTTTGAAGGGGCGAGGATTACTTGAAATGGGAAATCCCCTTCGTTCGTCTCGATATATTGAACTTCCATGTGAATCATTACAAGCTACAATTATTAACTATAATTACAATTAATTATTGCGCACACTACTAAGATTTTTTATGAAACTCTCTTTTTATTTTGTTCTTGACAGCATCAATTAATTTAATTGCGTTTCTGTATTTTATGTAAATACAGCTTTTATATCTGTATCTTTACATTATACTTTCGTTGTCAAAGAGATGGTAATTTAAGATTGATACTATCGCTAGATATTTTCAATCATTAAGAAGGAGAGGGTTGAATATCATAATATTTTTATAAGGAATATAATGAGTATGATTATTTTGATGTCATTTGATGATAATCATATATATATATATATATATCCTTCCGATGTTTAAAAATGTGATATTCCCAATCCAATCTTTTGTATCTTTCACTTATGAAAATTATTTTTAAATAATAAGAATATATATTCTATTGTTGAATATCATATAAATATATTAATGCACATAACTTATCTTCGTTTAACACTAATCTCATTCGAAAACTTACATAACAAAGATAGAGATACTCTCAAAACAAGAGTGTACTTTTCTCTGTGTACATTCCTAATATCTATGTATCTACACACCGCTTGGCTACGTTACTTATCGCTCACTCGCTGTATGTTACTTTATGTTTCCTTTTTCTCACCGGCGTGTTCGCGCCCTTAAGCAAATCCCGTTTCTTCGCGGTCCCGTGTATCTCGCCGAGTATCTTCTTCCGCTCTCTTTCACGAGCTACACACGTGGTCGCGGTCGCGATTTATCCGTCAAGACTTCCTCCCCGCCGTCGTTGTCGTCGCGTATCTCCTCCTCCGCACCTGGAGGCGCTCCAACAGCGTCGAAAATACGCGACTCGCGTTGGTGGGCGCGCAACACCTTTGGGCACCTGTAGGATGCGCCGGATAAAGCGTGTAGAGAGCCACGAGGTGTTCTATCGGTGCCGGTTACGTTAATGGATGATCCGTAGCGGTCGCGACGGCGGGTGGCACAGCAATCTGTTGTCGACGAGCTGCGTCAGCGGTGGAGACGCTCCTCTCGCTCGCTCGCTCGCTCGCTCGTTAGCTAGCTCGACGTGTTCGGAGCTCGTGACTTTATTTTTGGCTGTTCGACGACGATACCGTCGGCGATTTACGATATTACCGCCAGGACACCTGTTCCGCGACTACCATCGAGAGCATTCTTACAATCTGAAAGCTCGCAAATCGTTTTTCCTGACGTAGCCCGCCCGATGTACAATGTTTCGATTTTTCTCTTGCCCCGAAGAGAATTCAGAGTATTCCTTCTTTATTGCGTGATGGAGTGACGCGGTGTGAAGTAAATATATCGAACAATAACATATGGTTGACTAAATCACGAATTTTCACTGAATCGCTTCTGGAAATCGTAGATTTTCTGAAAGGTGTGTGTATATAAATTTTGATGAAATTCTATAAATGGAAATTGTCGGATTTTTTTCTTAAACCGAGTGAAATGTTACTGGAAGAGGTGATTGCGTACATCCACTCCACCATTAATAAACAATTATAAGTAATTTAGTAGGAAAATTAATATATATTTAAATTTCAACGGATCAGTCTTCACAATCTTGGAAATTCTCTTCAACTATAGGAATGAAATGAAATAATCTATTTTAAAGTGTACAATGTAAAATTTCATTAAGTATCAAGATGACATAAGAAAACAGACTATACTTAAAAAATTTACCGACAAAATGACGATCTTTTTCTGTAAAGTTTACGACGAATTGCTTGCACAAAAGTACTAAATGCTTCTACACAATAAAAATACAGGCAATAATCAATCAAAACATTGCTCAATATGTGATAAAAATGATAAATAATTTCAAAATTGTCATCTTAAGCTGCTAGTTAGCATAAATATCTGCCTGATACAAAATTTCTACAGCTTGTGTATTACAAAGCTTGTGTTTTTGCTCTGCACAGGAAAATATCAAGAAATATTGCGATACCTTTACAATTGAATTTACAAGCTTAACAATATATGAAAGGTTTGCAAAAAAACTTTTATATATACGTAACTATGTTTTCCACTAAATATGGTAAAATATTTATTTATATAGTTACTCTCTAAGACCCTGCAGAAAATATAGTTTACGTAAAACATGGATATCCTACCGCCTCCCCCTGATTTCACCCCCTTGACATTTTATGATAGCCCGGATGGTTTCAGCCAGTTCTGTACATTCGAGAATTTGTTAGGTGCATTTATTCCGTAAGCTTGCATAACTCTGCATACGCCAATGACAGAGTAAGTATCAGGAGAAAAATCAAAGCCCGCTACCGCTTCTCTCCGATTTTCTAATCGCCCTACGAAGCGTGCGCTTCGCGCAAAGAGCAAGAGACTACACAGGCAGGCAAGCGGTCAGGCAGGCTTCAGTGGCTTTTTGGTCGACGATTGAATGAATGCCACGCGAGTTAGTCAGCGTCGCGGTGCTAAATTCGGCGGACGCCTGGCGTCGCGCCAGAAGAACCACCCAGCGCACCAACCTGCTTCTACCCTGTAGCCGCCAACGAAATGGCGCCGTTATCATATCTGGTCGCCATCGTCCTCCGTTTAAATAACGTTCAGCTAAACCGAGCAACGTGGATTCTGTTCAAATCGCTGGAGATGAGAGAAGCGCAAGAATACACGCTATATTTCCTATAAGAGAAGGTTCTGCTTTAGGTAGCTTGAAAAGTTGAAGGTTTTAACAATTTTTTTTATGAAATGGAAAAAGATATCAATGGAAAGTTTTGATTCCTCCCTCCATTTCTCTTCTCTCTCTTTTATCTTTTCCTTCGTTTATTTTCTACGATGCACTAGAACTTTACAAATTCTTCATTTCGTTCTTCGTTTTCTCGCATATTTTCGCGAAGAAGCGAATATATACAATTGAAAAATTTAATGTGACATCTGTATTATAATTAAAATTTGTAATATACAACTAATAATCATGCACAGTTGAGAAAATTCGATCAATAGGTAATTAACTCACTGAAAGAAAAAAATGATTGATTTAACTAAATTTATAAAATTACTAAAATTATTATTTTTAGCTTTAGCCATATTTTTTGTTCTAACCTGGAATTCTAGCCTAATGTGGTAGTAGCAATATACATATAAGAATATTATCACTAACATTATATAAGAGAATTCAATTAAAAAAATATTTTTTTATCGTAATCCATAATTATTTTTCTATATGATTATAGTTACAAATACCAAACATTTTTTCCCAGTGTTATTATTTGACAAATAAACTCTTCTTTCAATGAATTCTTTGACCATAGAATAATCTATTAATATTGTTAAACCACGGAAAGAATTAATGTGCTCACATACGAATGTGTGTTAAAAAGTACTCAGAGATCCAATAGAATCTCTCATTGATTCGTATTCGATTCAATTTTTCCCTCCTTTGATCGCGCAGATCTGATAACGGATCCGATAATCGTTGAACAACTTGTCGAGAGGACAGGGTGGTTAAGCAACCACCCTGCGCGAGCCGCGGGGCCGGCGTGTGTTCCCGCTGCGGCCTCCGGTCCGCTCTCCCGCGGCCGCACGCACTCTCGTCACGCGTGTCGCATATTGCCGACACACGAACGGGACCATCACACGTGCGGGAGACCGGGCGGGCACGCTTCTGAGCGCGTGCAGCTGAAGACGAAGAAGACGACGACGACGACGACGAATACGAAGAGCGCCACGGTGGTGGCGGTGGTGGCGGCGGCGACGACGACGGCGGAGGCGGCGGCGGAGGGCGAGGGAGGCTGCGTTGCTATATGTAGCCCCGAATCTTAGCCGGGACAACTATTGCGCCCGAAATTGCCGAAGCGAACGCAACCCTTGCGAGCGCCACCTGATATTTGTATGTAAATGCGGCTCCAAATTGTAATTCTCTGATCTGCTCCCTTTGAGTATTATCACCCTCACTGATGATAAGTTAATCGGTGCCGCGCGAGTGATGGTTTGTGCGTCTTGAGTTGATAAATATGATTTGTGCGCCTTGAAGAGAACGATCGGGAAGACGAGGAAGATGCCGCGGGCATTTCTAATCACGCATCGCAGGTACAACGGTGCTGAGGACGAGCTAGCAGGATCCGAAAGAGGTACGTTGTTAATGAAACGCGATATAACTCGTTATTTAATAAATTGTATAGAAAAAGAGAGAGAGGGGAGAAATTAAGTTGGATTAGTTATCATATAAAGATTGGAAGAAGCAATTAATTTATGTGTCGTACAAAAAGATATATTAGAGCCTATTAATAATAAAAGTCTACAAATAAAAATATGCATCAAAACTTTTAAGTCTATATTAATAATTTAAATTTCGTATATATTTATTAAAGTTTAATGTAATAATTTGTTGTGAATTTCAATTAGTAAGTGCTCGTTAATTTTATTTATCAAAAGTGCTCGTTAATTTAATTTTATTTATAATTCGTTAAAAAAAAACATAAAATTCTTGCAAAAATAAAATCCACTTAACAAGAACTTAATCTGTTAAAAATTATACTAATTAAATATTTTTTCTACATTAATAATTATTACATACGAATTTATATTAAATTATAATTATAACATGATGTAAATTCCAACTCTTTTTAAGCAACTGTGTCCATAACATTAGTGTCAGTTGTACGTATATAACTTCGTGAATATATTTTCCACTTCTGCAAAACAAGTTATCCTAACAGCTGAGACAGTGTTAAAGCGCGGGAAGCGCTTAATGCGGAATTTATCGTAGAAAAATAATTCACAATGGCGAGATCGCGTAGATCTCGATTTTTGCACATTGTCTTCATCAATCAAATATCCCCACTTTCCACCCCTCTGAATTCAAGCCAGGAAAATCCGTTGGCCGCTACTTCGTGATTAAGGTGGTAGATCGCGCGGATTTAAGAATAGGAGACGCTAGATGCGTCACCAGGTCCCACCAAGACGCATACCGTCGCGATGCCGTCAACCCCACCGAGGCAGCAGATCTCCTTTACTAACGCAACGCGCGTGCACGTACACGTACTACGAAATACGCAAAATAAACGGCGGCGATGCGTTAGAGAACGACGGGCGTGCGGGGGTTGGTGGCGGAGCTACTCTATTTCCGTTCTCCCCGAAAGCGGAGCAGCCAGCGAGCCCCCCGAAGGTGCGTCGTGTTTTACGAGCCGCGTCGACGCCGGATTTCCCTACCCACTTATTCAGAATCTATCCGACAACTTGAGATTCACGATGTTCGCGCAATATAACAAAATGCAAAATGACAAATCTCCAATGACAATCAAATATGACTTTTCGACTGTGTCGTATCGCGTTTAGAATTGAGTGAGAACTACCTAATCAGTTAAAAGTTAAGTTAAAAAGTCAAAAGTTATTAACTTTTAATTTAACTTAGTTTTACTTTTAAATAAATTAACTTTTAAGTTAAACTAGTTTTTAAAAAATAGATTTTTTTTAATGTTTTTAAATCAATTTTTTTAATTTAAACTAGTTACTTTAAAACTAGTTATTCTGCGTTAACTTTAACTTATTAACTATTTTAATGTAGGTTAAAATAATTTATCAATATTATATAAAATTATTGCGGACTGCTTAAAATGTAAAATAAGAAATATTGTCAGCAAAATATTTTTCATTTTTTTTTAGCACTAGTGTTCCTTTCTCGTATGGAATCCTAAACTCAAGATACAGTCGGTATTTTCTTATAACAGAAAACTTTTCATTGTTTTACATAAATTAAACCTATGATTAAAAAGTTAATTATGCAAAAAACATATATTATTGTGCATAATTAAATTTTAACTTTAATAAGTTAATTCAATTTTAACTTAATTTTAACTTAATTAAGTTTGTTACTGTTTATGTAACTTTTAACCAAGTTAATTTTATAAGCTATTAATTTTAAACTTTATTAAAAAAATATATCAACTTACCTAACTCTAATCTATATACAAGCATTGATCGATTACACATTACTAGAAACTAATTTACTTTATAAACTACACCTGATTTTTTAATTCAAGGATAAATTAATAAAAGAAGTTTGTAGTAGAATTTCGACGAAGTAAATGATGCATAATGTCAACGTAAAATTGTTGTTTATTACGTTATATCAAATAAAAAAAGTGACACCAGAGTCTTCATAATTTGCTTCAGTGTCAATTTCAATAAAATTAATCTTTGTTAAGTTAACTGTCTTTTTCTCTAAAGAGGATGTAGACATTAGACATAAAGATAATCTACAGAGAAAGAAGAATAAAACATTTCAATTTATTCGATTCAAGTTGTCTGTACAACAAAGCCTGATATAGACAACAAACATAAAGGTAATCTACAGAGAAAGAAAGATAAAACATTTCAATTTATTCGATTTAAGTTGTCTATACAACAAGGCCTGAAAAGCGATGCAAATGTGTGCTGATATTTATTGCCGAGGAAAACTGCTAGTCTCCTGAAAGCGCCAATTAAAACGGCTTTTAAGACCCTCATAATTCCGACATGATCCTCTAAAACGTACTTGATTCTCTCTTAGATCTCAGTTCCGAGAGAAGCTCGAGGCTGACCGATTACAGCGGCGGTCAGCCAACTTCCGATGGCGCCAGCGAGTGCGGCAGCGAGACGTCGTCCGAGTGCCCCGAAGAGCTGTACAATCTGACGAAACTGGCGGAGGTGAGCCTGGCGGCGGCGGCTGGCACCCTGATCCATCACAGCAATGTCATCTACCAACGACCGATGTCGCCCAGAATCGCACAGCATACGGAAAAGAGCCGAACACTGGTGTCTCGACCGGTCGCGCAAACGACGGGCAACCAGGGTCAGATTCTGAGCGAGAGGACAAGGCTCTTTCTCGAAAGGATCGAGACTGAGCGAGAGATCCTCGAAGGTCGTTGCGAGGAGAACGCCACCTTGGGAATTCGTCTCTCGCCGCGACATCCCACCTGCTCGCAGGAGGAACCGGCTCTGTCGAAGGTACCGGTCATTTCCGGGCTCAGTGTAAACCCGTCGCCGGTATCAGTATCACCGGCGAGTTCCCAGAGTCGACGGACGGCCACCACTGATCCCAAAGCGGATCAGGACAACGAGGACCACGAGTGTCCGGACTGCGGCAAGAAGTACTCGACCTCATCGAATCTGGCTAGACACAGACAGACGCACAGGTCGTTGGGCGATAAGAAGGCCAGAAGATGCCCGCACTGCGACAAGGTCTACGTCAGTATGCCCGCCTTCAGCATGCATGTGAGGACTCACAACCAGGGCTGCAAATGCCACTATTGTGGCAAGTGTTTCTCCAGGCCGTGGTTGCTGCAGGGACACATACGCACGCACACAGGTAAAACACCGCTGATATCATTGTCCAAATGTTGAAGAATCAGTTGTTGCGCGTGTTTTTCTACCTGAAACCGTTCGATTTTCTCAGTGTTGTTGCTCCCGCGTCTTAATTTTAGACAAACGTGCGTGCAATAAAACTCGTCTAGCTCCCGAACAATTGCGTTTTCCCTCAATGATAGACGCTACGTAAATAGCTAATGCAAGCTATTTCTAAAGAGACGTTGTTAGTTTAACAGGTTTCCAATGAAGATGAATTGAAATTAATCGCCGACGATGTACTTTTGGCACGTTCAAGAATGCGGCACTATTTTCGAGCGCAAATCATGGATATGTAACTGTGAAATCGGTGAGACGGAACGATATATCAACGCGTGTTCTTCAACGCGTCTGACTGTTGCATTAGGGCTGATTAATTGAAATGTTCATTCAGAAGAAGGTCAAGTGAGAAAAAACGTACCGATTCATTGGAAAATTCTGTTTTTCATTTTTTACCTCTCATTTTTATACTCAACTGTACTCAACTGTACTATTAAATGTGCAATATTCTTCTAAGAGTAATTATTTTTGCGTCATATTGTGAAAAAAGTACGTAAAGATTTACTTGTGAGATATAAAGCAGGAATAAAATTTATTTCTATGAATCAATTTTATATCCCACGAATAAATTTTCAAGTATTTTTCTCAGTGGTATCTATTATACTGAGAAAAAAGTATTTTAAAACTTCTTTTAGCCGCGGATTTTTGTAGGGCAGGAATGGAAGTTTCACTAAACATTTTATAAATGTTGACATAAATACATAAATATTTAATAAATTTATTAAATATATATTAAATAAATATATTAAATAAAAGGAGATTTTTTACTTTTAAGAAACTTTTAAAAAATAGCCTTATATCATTCTTCACAATCTTAGATTATTATTTTTGATAAGAAGATAAGAAAAATATGGCGCATGATTCTAACTCTCACTTTGTGCCGCATCAAAATAAAGTCGCCTTTCAAGTGGTCGCGATTATTGGAAGGTTAAGAGAGAATATTTTTATAAAATAATCAAAGCGCACATCGAAAAGCTTTTTCACATTTCCAATAATTACCTTCCCCTTTCTTTCAGGTGAGAAGCCCTTTAAGTGTACCATTTGCAACAAAGCCTTCGCTGACAAGTCGAACTTGCGCGCCCACATACAGACGCATTCGAATACCAAGCCTCACGTGTGTGGCCGTTGCGGCAAGGCTTTCGCCCTGAAATCATACCTCTACAAGCACGAGGAATCGTCGTGTATGCGCGCTCACCACCGATCGTCCGCGGAGAAGCCCGATCAGGTCGATCAGCAAACCCCGTCGTCGGTGAAACCGAGTGCTCCGTTATCCTCGTCCGTGAACAAACCGCAAACGACACCGTGCGTCATTGCATCGCCCACCAGCGTCATAGTTCCTCGACTAGGACCTGAACGAGACCAGAAGAGCTCGTCGTCAGCGTTCTCAGCAATCATCAAGCACACCAGGACGACGGACTCGTCCGCGGCGTCTTCAAAGCGGCCTTGCAGAGAAAGAACGCCCTGTCCGGACGATCACGAGAGGCAAAGCCCGGATTTAGCGATGAAGGACCCAGATTACGTGTCCAGGATGGTCATCAGGACGTCGGTGATATCTCCCAATCCGGAGCATTTGCTCCGTTTCGAAAACGACGTCAAGAGTTCCTCGACTACATTCGATTACCCCGATCCGACCAGGCCTTCAGCTTTCTCGAGGCCCAGCACGATGACTTTAAATCTAGCCATCGCTTAGGATCAGCTGGTCAATGCTGATGTTTACACTAAATCGGCCATCTTGATTTGTATCTACTTTCTTGCAAAATTTCACGACAAGTGTCCGCATTCATTGTTATTACTTGACACTCACCTCAAGTGAGATATTCAAATTTGAATTGAGAATTAGATAAGTCTTTTCAGTTGACTCACGATTATCATAGATATAAATATCACATGTTATAGTTCAACTAAAAAACTTAAATTTAACTCTGAATAAAAGTCTAAGTATTTCACATGAGACAAGTTTCAGGGGACAACTATTAATACGGACCAAAGAATTCTCTGCAAACTCGTGATTCGATGGAAAATTTGTAAGGAAAGATCTTCTGGCAAAATTAAAACGCGATCAGAAACTTTCTTCAATCGATAAATCTGTACAGTGTACAAAATTATCGATGCAAGATGTCGGAGATAAAACTATGGTTCAAACGGATTCAATCGGCTACTTGAAGAAGAAAGTTTTGACCAATGGGGCAATTATACAGGATGTTCCAAAACTGCTGATACTTCTTTCAACCACTGATTTCTTTGAAACGACTCAGAGAGACTCAATCTTTTTCTAACGAGAATCTGATTGAGATTGAAGCGCCATGTTTTATCAACGTGTACAATTTTCGACGATAATTTAGTAGCATTATGCATTCTATATTGAGAAAAGAGCACTCGAAGTTTATTTGCGGGATATAATGTTTATTTCTGTGAGTAAACTTTATATCCTACAAATAAATTTTCACATATTTCGTTCTCAGTATATGCAATCTCGATGGCGTTTTCCTCAGGCAAGATAACGAGAATTGTCCCGTATAAGCGTCAGTCTTCCTTTCACCGCAATCGAACGAAGTTTACTTCCGGCAATGTTAAAGTTGCGAATTCACGAAGAATCGACCGAGTATATTTGCGTGTGACGAACATTATATTCCAAGCATCTTCCGAATTAGGGACCATCTAGCGATTAGTCGTAATAACGTTAAATCTGTAAGCTGTTGTGTTTAATTTAGCGATCCGTCGATATGAAGCCGTGCCTTGTGTAACGAATATCGGAATACCGCGTGCGAGCGTGTATAATTCGACTTAGTTTCCATAGGTCCGACGGGATTGGCGTGCACGGACGTGCGTAGGAAAGAAGTTCCCCGAGGTATAAGGCCGCCCCGGCGAGAGCGCCTGTGAAATGCCAAACATGTGACCTCACCTATTTAAAGACATAGCGCCATCGCCGTGGCGCGGCGTTGAGCGATCAAAATTGATTATCGACACGAACTAAACACCGCAGTGTGCCTTCGCGTTATTGTCTTAGAATTAAATGACAACGGGTCGAGGCTCTTCGAGGCAGCTAGCAACTCTACGAGATATAGATACGTGTAGCGTGTTCCCGAAGTCTAGTGAAACTAGAGAGGGTGTGTGGAGGTGTACTTTCATAACTGAACGTTCAGTCAGGTTGTCGCTAACGAAGGAATTTTCGAAAACGCGACTGCGCGTCGGGATGCAGCTGTTGCACCGGGACGCTCTCGAAAAACGTAAAGGCGTGTATCTGTGATTCAAGAAATTGCGCGGCCGACTGCCGCGAAAAGCCGGCTCCAGACGATGACAGTCGTTTGCCAGAGTAGACTCTGCTTAGAAAATCCGGTAAGAAGATTAGTAGAAATATATAGGAATTTCATTGAAATATCATGTAATTTATCTGAACTGATTATTATTTCTCTCGGAAATATTTCAATATTTCTCACATTTTAGCTCATATAAAACAGTTCAATTCTTTTTTCATTTTATATTTAACTTAATTTTATATATTTTTATTTTATTTCATTATATATTAATTTACTTTTATATATAACGATTAAATATTATACTAATTAAATATCATACACTCGTCTCAAGTGAGATATTCAAATTTGAATTCAGAATTGGATGTGTGAGAGTTTTTCAGTTGAATCACGATTACAGACCTAAATATCACATGTATTATAGTTTAATTTATAAAAACTTGAATCCAACTCTGAATAAAAATTTGAATATCTCGCATGAGACAAGTTTCAGATGACAACTATTAATATAGGCCAAGGAATTCTCTGCAAGCTCGAGATTCGATCTTGCAGATGGGGTATAATAATATGCTAAATATTTCTCTAAATATACATGTGTTTTTCTGTGTAATTTTATCACTTTTTACCAAAAGCATGGTTCAGATTTTTCTTGTGTAATTCTGCTAAATCTTCTAAGCAGGGGACGCGCTCAAATATCATTGCAGACAGCAATCGTGAAGAATACCTCATATTGAGAGAAAAATCTAAAGAAATAGCAAATCTAAATAGTAAAATCTAAAGAATAGTAAATATTTCTTTGGTGAATATTAACAGCATATTTATTTCAATCTAAAATCTTTTATTTAAATAGAGTAAAGACGCAGAGTTGCTTTTATGAGAAGCTAAGGTTTCCTTAAGGTGTTAAGAAAGTGCATATTTTCTTATTTGAAACATATTTTATATATTATTACAAGTAAATATATACCCACCGAATAAATATACTCGCTATCTTTTAGATATTTTTTTCTCTCAGTGTATATCGAGTCATGCGTACCCCTCGTCATTCTGATTATAATTATACTGTTCACGTTGACAAGTATTGTACAAACCACACAGCACACATACACATCGACTGGCGAATGTATTTGTTAGATGAGCGCATTGTTTGGAGCCCTGGCATAGGTTGCGCGTTCTCCAGCGGCGAAATACTAATTATATAACGACGATAAATAAGTCTTCGATACCACGTGAATGTGGTGTCGATCAGAGTGTCGAGCTAGTCGAACCCGTCCCGCCATCGCGAACGTGATCCGCCGTCGTGCCCTCGGGATTTGCGATTTGCATCGCGTCGACGGCGAATTGTCGGTCGTCAGCACATGTCCTTCCCGCGGGGATTCCGCGAACGGCACGGATTGCGCGAATTACGCGAATGGTGAACGGTTATGATAAAGATTTCGCGTAAGTGTAAAATAACGTTGTCGCGCGCAATGAGATCGATCTCGTTTGCGCGTTTGTGTCGAGGAATTACCGCTCGCGGCTGTACAATTGTAATTAGCGAACGATTCGGACATTTCACGTCCTAGTCATTTTGATTCGATAGATCGCCCGCGAGAGGAGAATAGGGAAACCCTCCCCTGCCTCGCTCTTCCCCCACCCCTCTCTCCCCGGTCTAGCGTGAATAACGTAGTCGTGTTGAGACCGAACGTTGTAAATAGCATTCCCACTTTTACGTATTAGAATTTAGACACGAGAGATGCCAGTCGGTGCCAGTCACTTTTAGATAGCTCGATTTTATTACGCCCGTTGTGTATGTATCGTATGTACTACTACTTGTACACCGGAGTGCCTTTATGCAAAAAGAAAAAAAAAAGAAACATTTACCCACCTTTTTTTACGAATTATGAAAGTCTTGTCTATCGTAATGGGAGAAAATATACGAGATGATATGTATATGTTTTCCTTGTCATTTCTCTCGCGCTGCCTCCTCACGTCGAGCGCGTTTTATCCGAGTGAACTTCGCGCTGTCGCGTGTTAATCCGAAGAAGTAGGATTGACGCGTGATAACGAAGTCAACTCGGACGATGAAGTTGTATCGCGTTCCCTCGGAAGTCGTGTCGAAGCAATTTAACTCCGTACCTATATCGGATTGCAATACGCGCATTCGCATAAAGCTGCCCGTTCAACTCGTACGTCTCTCGCTTTTTTACGCGTATTGAGCCCATTATCGCGCCGATGAACCGTACGATCGCTAGCTACGCCTGGCAGTGGGATAAACAACGGCTAACTCTGTGCTTAACAAATAGATATTGGACTCAATAATTAGGGCAACGGAGGCGAAAGTGACCAACCGACAAACGATGTACATTTATGTCTTCAGATACACAAGCGAGGGAACATTCTCTCGCATATTAATCGAACTAACACGCTCGGAAGTAGTACGAAAGAATTCGCGCGAAAAGAATTTGACTGTCAAATTCGTTATCTATCTCTCTGAGCCCGGTAAATTAACAGTAACATTGCATCAATTATAATTTCCGATTCAGCGATGGAACTGTTGTACACAACACGAGGTTATATTGAACTTACATTGTCGTGTTGAAAATTATAATATTGACGTAATGTTACGGTGAAGATGAATTAGTGACCGTTTAGTGTCCCGATTAGTGACAATTGCGTCCGTTTTTTCTTAATAAATCTTAATAAATTCTTTGAAGAAGTTTTCTTGATTAAAAGTAATACGGACCCCATATATTTATCCTGAACATATGTGTACCCTAAATTTATTAAGTAATATAATATCATCAGTTATAACAGGTTTCGAAGTGGAATTAAAAGTCATAATAAATGCTGGAACATCATGATTTTACAAGCGTACTGCTGACGACGATAGTTTGAACACTTACTCGTCGACGTCTTAAAACTTGACAGTTAATATCATAATGTCATATGTTTGTTAGATCTGTGTAGTTATTCTTTAATTTCAAATTATTGAAATTGGTCATGTTATAGTTGAGAGAAGGTTAAAGAATATTTTTTATAAGCAGAGAAAATAACAAATGTAATTTTCATAATTAATTTATGTCACTAATCGGTATTAGGATATTTATTTATCCCCATTAATAACGATTTGAATAAATATGATATGAAATAATATGAACATTCCTATTTTTAAAAAGAACGTATGGTAAATCTTATTTATTATAAAAATTAAGAAATAACATTAATATTATAACTTACTCCCCAGAATTTATTAATGAGCACAAATATGAGTGATAAGCTTATAAATTGCCAGGTTTAAGTCAATAATAAGTTAATAATAAATTCATATTTCTATATCGCGATTTGTAATATTCTTCGAACGACTGCTTCGAACGAATTTATTATTTTTTATTAATAAATTTATATATTTCTTTATTTTTTTACGATGAGGTTACTTGTGGTCACTAATTAGGATATTCACCTCAATTGATGTTTACTGGGAAACTCAACGCGCGAAAACTTTAATGAGTATTTCGTGATAGAAAGATGAATTATATAAATAAAATAACGATATTATTAGAAACGTAATAGATAAAGTATTTCCGTAAGATTGGAGCTTTTCGGTGTTTGGTCAAAGAAAAATAGAAAAAGAAAATTCTTGATCTGTCACAAGATATTCGTCTTCCTGCAATACATCTCCGTATCACATATATAGTGACCTCTTAATTCAAACTTCTTTTTTTCCAAGTGCAATACGATGATACCTCGAGTCGGCGACAGCTTATGAGCCGCGCATTTTTCGGTAACGAGATCCACAGTGACAAGATGAGACTAAACGAGATAGCGTTATACACACGAGCGTTTGTACGCACTTACATCACGAAACGCGTATACTCGCACTTCCCAGAACTTCCTCCAACGATTCCTTCTCCCGCCTCGTCGCGGTCACATAGATCCTTATGGCTCCCAACTCCGTGGGCCTGACTATGAGACCGAAGAAGAGACGTAAAGGAAGAAGCGAATAAAGCCAGTGGGAGTCAGTGCCGCGGCATCTAGCAGGGTTGGATCATCGTCCGGACATCAGTCGTGAAGAACATCCCGCGCAAGGCTCGAGCCATGTGGCTGTACCTCGTCGTTTTGATCTTACTCTCAAGCACAGTACTCGCGCGATACCACGTAAGTTTTTCTCAAGTCAGTTTTCTATCTCCATCTAAACTTTTGTCATAAAATAGCTAAGGTGTATGTATATGTGTGGTTGTGTGTGCACATTTTGCTTTCGTAAATCGTTACATATTTAAAACAATGTGCGCTAAAAATAAAATTTTAATAAAATTTTAACAAAATTTACTGTTCGCACACACACAATATTTTTATCGATTTGATTGTACATCTATATCCATCTTATAATAAATTTTACATTAAATCATGTTTTGTTAATTTCTTTTTTATTAAAAAACCTGCAAACTTTTAAGTGTGTTAACGTTAAAGTTGCTTATTTGTCACTTATTTGCTTTTAACAATATCAAAACTGTTCTTGGAGAAAGTAGTAAAACAACATTTTTATTTGATTACAAGATCAATCCAGTTACCGTATATTTATTAGAGAGTGAATTTCAAATGTTGATTATAAAATATAAATAATAAAATAAATTAATAAAATAATTGACATACTAATAAAATAACTGCTTACCTTCTTTTTCTAAAATTTTCTTACCGTATTTCGCATAGCGTTGTGAAATTCAGTGAATTACTGGCGCATATGATTTATGCGAGACAGCAAACGCAGAAATGCGATCTCTTACTATGTATTTCAGTGACTCTGCCTAATATTTCATACACTATGCGATAATTTTCACATTACATATTTAGATTAAAATATTGCTATCATACTAAACAAGAAAATAATAAATATCTTCCATAATTATTTGTTGCAAAATCGAAAAGCGCGCACAAGAGAAATTGTAACAGTCACTATTTTCTAACGAAGAATGAGCATTAGTTAAATTTATATTTTCACACAGTAGGTCACATTTAAAATTAAAGATTATTTCTAAATCTGTTATATATGTGTTCCATTTATACAATATTTCGCTATAGCAGGTTATTGGCACAGGTCACGCACTGATGCATACGACTAGGGAGACCATTTAAGAAAGATTTGGAGGTCAAAGTTCACGTGATAATGACATACGATAAGGACAGATTCATGAGACATTTATGAGATAAGAACAGAATAGATGATAGAGAATAGCTTAGCCTATTGACTATGTAGTCAATGGGCTGTCTTTTTTCACCCCCTTCTGTCAATGCTGAAACTTTTTCGATACAACTTGTGCACGAAATAATTTGCAACAAAAGTTAACATAGCAATTATAAAATATAAAAAAACGAGATATATTATATGTGAGATTATTTTAGAATCATATCTCGTGCAGTTTTTAAACAATTCTGTATATTGCAACAATTACAATTCTGTATAATTATACTGTATATGTTAACAATATTTTCTTTATTTTTTGAGGAAGAATACATGCGATAAATAGTTAATAACTAATGATGACATTCGTAGGAAAAAACACGTTTTGATCGATCTATTCACGAAGAAATAAGAGTGAAAAACACAGATGTAGATCATTTTGAAAAGAAATGGTCATTCACCGACGATGTAACGGTAAGTAATTACTTATCAATGGTAATAATAATATTATAGAATGCAGATTTTTTAAAAGACATTTTGGGGAAATAGGAATATGTCGCATACAAAAGCAAAGTGGATAACGATTGCTATCTTGAGAATATAAAGCAAGATCGAGATGTACGTAAGAAACGGCAAACAAAGATACTCTATGCATCAACAGTCCTTACAAAATTGGAGGTAATAAAAAGAATTTATGAAATATGATGTGTTTTACATATATAAATTTTATCTTATAATTTGCTTTTGATATTCTGAACATAAATAGGCATGGCGACTCGCTGGAGGCCGTATCGTCGATTTTTGCAATGGGCGAAATTTTATTTTGCTAGAGACAAACAAACCTATACTTGGGCAAACTCTAGATCCCTTCCTGAATGAAATTCCAGTAGATGAAAATGACATTTCGTCAAGACGAGTGGCTGATGTAGTATTAACGCCGCTCATCAGTCGCACGAGAAGAGAAATTCAATTGGAGCAACGTGAGATATTGAATAAGAAATTCGGCCGATTTCGACAACGTCGACAGACGAACCAGTTTCGAGGAAAATTTCGTGGACAAACACAGTCTCAATATTTGAATATCGGTAGTGGTGAGCAGAAAGAAGGTAAAGCGGAAGCTGAATCTACTCAGCAGGCTTCACGCGCTGTAGTCAGTAAGTTCTTCTTTACATTTAAGAATAATTATATTATTATTTAAGAATTAATATTGTATATATCCTACATAAACTGTACGAATTTTTCTAAGAGAGGCCAATTATCGTGTTTTGATAACTTATGCAAACGTTTGAGTACCTGAAATATTTTTTTTCAGGCGGCAGTCGTGGCATGGGTCAAGCACAAAGTATGTCGTCGGGTGGTACCGGTTGTGAAGATTGTCCTGGATATCCTGGTGTCGAGATTCCGGATAAATTACGAATTCCATCCGCAGATGGTGATAGATTCGTGCAAGGCGTAGGTACACCCGGTATCAGGCGTCCTGGAACAGGAATTGTACCAGGCGGCATACCTTATCCTGGCGGTATTACTCCAGGTGCACAAATAACTTATCCCGGTGGAGTGGTTCCCGGAGGAGTTGGTACTTATCCTGGCGTTCTTCCTGGTACTAGACCGGGAACTTATCCTGGTGTTCAGCCTGACATCATAACACCAACTGGAGATGGAACATATCCTGGAGGTGTTCAGCCTGGAGTTATCCAACCTGGAACTGTAACACCTAGTGGCGATGGAACATATCCAGGAGGTGTTCGTCCCGGAGTAGTTACACCAGGTGGCGATGGAACATACCCAGGAGGTGTTCGCCCTGGAATAATGATACCAGGTGGCGATAGAACATACCCAGGAGGTGTTCGTCCCGGGGTAGTGACACCAGGTGGCGATGGAACGTACCCAGGAGGTGTTCGTCCTGGGGTAGTTACACCAGGTGGCGATGGAACATACCCAGGAGGTGTTCGCCCTGGAGTAGTGACACCAGGTGGCG